TTCAGTGGGAGAAACGTCTCAGGACCTTCTTGCTGTGATGGGACAGTGCTAAGCACCACAATCAGTTACTGCTAACATTTCGGTAGCCCTTGATTAATTCCATTGAATCGTAAGAATAGCTTCTTCTGTGTGAAAACTAAACGTGGATCCTGTGTTTTGCAGGAAGGTGAATAATAGGCCATTTTATTATGGGCTCTGACAGTGGACTCATCTGTGCTAGTCCTCAGCACTGTTGACTTAGTATTTTATTACAGAGATTAGGCCATACCTACGAATTAAAGGTTGGTTGCTGCAGTGGTTTAAATCATATCTACCTGATGGAGACCAATTTGTTAATGGAAACACACTCAGGTTAATTATGGTGTTCCACAGCATAATGAACCTGTTTACAGTATACACATTTCCCTCAGGCAATGTGAAGGCATAGCATACATGTTCATTAATGTGAAAGCTCCATACCACATAGCAGTTATTTAAACTGCATTAAGGTCTTAAAGACATGAAAACCTGGATGAGCCCTAATTTTGTGCTTCTAAATTCAGATCAAACTGAGGTTATTGTACTGGGCCCTAAAAATCTTGCAAATATAATCTCTAACCACACGTGTGTTTTCAGCCATCCAGGTCATGGTGGTCTAAGGAGCTTGGAAATAAAAGCGTCTGGACTTCTTTAAGGTCTGTGAAGACATTTCACCTCTCATCCAAGAAGCTTCTTCAGTTCTTCGAGCAATTGGTGGAGAGTCCCAGATTTAAGCCCTATGGGAGTGTCCCTAAGAGGGTCATGGACCCCCTGTTGATCCTCTGTTTGTTTTTTGTTTTGTTCCCCTCCCTCAGCCTGGTCTGCCACATGATTCTTCATGTTACAATCGAGTTTTGCTTTTCTCCAAGTGCTTGCTCATCAGGGGTTGTTGGTGTTGTCTCTGGATCATTGTTGGCCTCACAATATGAAGCACATTAGATGGACTGCTGTTGTTATTTGGTGCTGTAAAAATTAGATTGAATTGAATCTGAGGATTAGGACAGTGTGTGATATTATTGTATCTCAATGGCTAATAAGCCCATGTGTTTTCAGTGTGTGGCAGCACACAGTGGCACACTGACCAATCACAGTTGAGGTTGTCACAGCTGAACATTTTTAAGACACTTTATGACATTACTGTAGAACTTTGGGATAAACCCACAGTGCATAGCTTCACCTGATGTGCTGCCTCGCGCCCTGGAAATGGTAAAATTGTTGTGCGAGGTAATCTTTGCTAATAATAGTAGATCATCTTTATTCTTAATCAAAGTATAAGTCTGATGAATATGTTAATCATCCATCCATCTTCTTTGGTTTATCCGGGGCGGGGTCACAGGGGCAGCAGCTCAAGCAGAGAAGCCCAGACCTCTCCTCTCCCCAGCCCTCCTCCAGCTTTCCGGGGAAACCAAGGCGCTCCCAGGCCAGCCGAGAGATATAATCTCTCCAGCGTGTCCTGCATGGGTGAGAGTAGGGATATACATCGACTGGTAAATATAGAGTTTCGCTTTTATGCTCAGCTCTTTGTTCACCACGATAGACCGGTAGAGCATCCATATCGCTGCATCCGCATCACCAATCCGTCTGTCAATCTCCTGGTCCCTCCTCCCATTACTCATGAATATGACCCTGAGATACTTGAACTGGGTTTTTGAGTTCTCAGAACAGTTTGATCTCTAAGGTGTAGCTCATTGTTCCTCACTTGTTGCCTCAATAAGTTACAGGAAACATCCATAAAATGGTTACTGATACTTAATTCTTACGTAGCAGTGTGAGCAATGCATCACCTGCTGCCTCTGTGCCAGAACTTGTGTGGGCGCATTTTATGATATAAGGAGCAATAACATATTTTTGTCCTCCTTTTGCTCCTCCTCCGCATGCGCTTTGCAGATTGGTGGAGCGCATTGAGCAACATATTTGCCGCTCTCTCAAGGTGGCCCAAGCACTATTAATCAGATAGATTAACAGTAGTTTTAGTGGCTTATTGACAACTAAAACTACTGTTAATCTATCTGAATATGACATATTTGTAAATATTGTTTTTCTTATTCAGTCTTTTTTTCCCTCCTATGAGCTGCTATTATACTATCCTGCTATACTACAGCGTAGTATTTGATCACATGGAACCTTTAAAAACAGCAGAAGGTAAGTTTCCTCATATTTGAGGCTGATTTATGTGAATTATTTTGGTTTAAGAAAGTAAGACACCGGGTTTGCTGCCCTCTGCTGGTGCTGCCGACATCAAAGAACCGAAATTACTGGATTATTTTCAGTGCTCGCTAAGATTTTGGCATCAGATTTCCCTGAACATTCCTGCTCGCTTTAAATGCGTGAGTGAATGAATAATTCAGGATGCATAGAAACATTCTGCTGTTCATCACAAACTCAAACAACACATTTGTTATTTCGGTCTTATTTGGATGAATCTACTTTATTATTTAGAAAATTTGACTCCTGTGTTTTTGTCACAATTTCACAGCAGCTCATGTTTACAAACTGTCATTTTGACATTAATATTAATCCAGCAGACGCACCGAGGCAGTTAATCCACGTCCTGATTGGACACAGTGGAACTCCATCTTCCATATTTCCGCTCCAGAAAGCTTTGACGCTTTTGTTAGTGTCATTATTGTGTGTGTGCCAGTTTTACCAAACTTTATTAGTTCTCATTTGGTTCAGTCCCACACGGTTTAAAGTGATAATTCAAAACTAATTTCTTGTTCAAAGGATTAAACAGCATCACAGAAATGTTTGCCTTATCCTGTGCTGCTCGATGATAAACCAGGAGGCTCAACTACTCACAAGGTTCAGAGTGAGGCTGAGCGGTCAGTATTAAACTACATGTTCATATATTTCAGCAGATGACAGAGTAGCTGTGAAACGTTTGCACACATGGTCAATCATTTGCAACAATGTATTTGCATTCACACATTCATTATTAACTTTGTGTGAATGACTTCAAGACTGTGATGTCTTTATTGTCACAATAACTGATGGATTTTATTCTCATTTCTAGGCGACAGTACTATTCAAATACTGTTGGAGCAGCAAGGCTGGCTCAGTGTTTTGCATCACCTAAACTATTAAAAGTTGAGAGATAATCAAACGACTGAAATGTTTGGTAGTTGTGTTCTGCACGGTCTTATTCTGAAGTGTGTCTGTTTCAGTGCTGCAGACTAAAAATCTTCACATGTGACACTTTTTATAGTCCAGACCGAGACTAAAACTTGTGTCTGTCGGTACGTGCTGAGATTCAATAAAAAACTTGAGATCGACAGCAGGCTCCCTTTATTTCTGTTGTTATAGCTTAATAAAGTCAGCGTTCGTCATACACAGAGACATACTGGGAAGCTACAGAAGCCTTCAACACTTACAGTACCAGTGACTGAAACAAACAACGATGAGGCAGAGGACTGAAAAGGAGTCAAACAAACAGTTTATACAAGAAAATAGTCATCGGCACTCATTAAGTTCATACTTTGAATAAATATTGCTTTTAAAATGACTCTGCCCCTCATCGTTGCTGATTTATCACGTTTTATTTTCACTGCGTTAAATATCAAATATATTCCTTTACTGATGCATTTCTGTTATTGCTAACATCAAACGTACCTTACATGAGATACTGGATAATAGGCTTGTTGAAAGTACAAATTTCACAGAATATAACAGTCAGAGTTTGGTAGGATACACTGCAGATGATGGGCTTCTGGACATGCACGAGGACTCGATAGAAGTGGCTTAAGCAGGATCTCTCTGTCCGAGAGGAGGTGTCAGTCACATGGCCTTTCAAACATGCACTCTTTACTGGTATTTTACACATGTACAAGACTTTTTTTTTGTCATATTTAGTTCTTTTTAAAGCTAGACTACACGACTGAGCCACAAATAGGAGCTTTACATGCCAACGGGGACACTGTGCTGGGGCAGCCAACAGCTAATCAGAGCGTCGCTTCAGCTCCCTCACAATACTCAAATGGAAATGTAAGAAAGGCTGACAGAAGTACAGCGATAACACACATACATACACAGTGATATGGGTGGTAGTGACTCATAACTCAGGCAGAGTTGCCCCAAAGTCTTGTACGATTATACTTTTAATGTAGAATATAATAGATTTGAATGCAAATATTACTTTAATAAATATTCACAAGTTATTTAATGTGCAGAAAATATGGATGAATAACAACCTGCCAGGTGACCGAGCTCGTATCACAGGTCTTGTGTAAACAAGACAACTGGATGTAAAGTGAATCATTTACTGCTAAACTAATGATAACTCATGAGGCAACATATCTTAACAAAGATAAGGGGAACAAACGGTATCTGGATCTTACGCAAACAAGGTTGTAATCTGACTAAACTGTCTTGATTCTTCAGTATAACATGCTCACAACACGGGGAACGATGCAGGCTCCGACTTCTTTCATAAGATATGCAAATATAAGATTATCGTCATTAACTGGAAAATTGTGAGCATCAAGTTTAAGGTTAAAAGTCTTTTTCTTGATTTTTTTTTCAAATGCAGGTGAATGTTGCCACACATGAGTGTTTGCAACCAAATCACAGGATCGAACATGCAAACGTCTTTTTATGGCCCTGGATGTAACAAAATGCACATCTGAGTTTTCAAATGATCAGTGCATATCTGCATTACTTTTGTGACATAGGAGTGCATTTCTCCGTCTTGTCATTTTCCCATCACTTCTCCACCTCTGCATTCAGCAGGTCCTGTTGGCTAGCAGGCCAGAGGCTGAGCCAGTACTCTGTCACATTATCCTGCAGCTGAGTGAATTACCGTACTCTACCTCCATTAGACTAACAACAAAGCAGGAGCAAGGAAGGGGGATGGGAGAGGGAGCAGTGATGTAACAGAGCCGACAAGGAAGGAGGGACAGATACGGCAGATGATGAATAAGGAATAACTAAAAGGGGGGAGCGAAAGGAAACAAACGAGGAATGGAAAAGGCCTAACTTAAAAGTGAGAAACAGGAAGGGAGAGGCGGGAATAATGGATAAAGGAAAAGAGTAAGAAAGAAATGAGGGTGGGTGGAGGTTTATTAGAGATGAAGATGACAACTAGAGTGGAGAGGCAGAAAGCAGAGAGAGGGACTGGATGAAGGGTTGTTGTGGTGGAAGACAAACAGAAGGAGTGACAGAAAAAAGGAGGAAAAGAAAGATCGAGCTTACTGTCTCACACATGAGTGGCACACTGAGTGGCCACGCACACATGCACAATTCAGTGCAGTTGTGCAGAAGAATCGACCCTCACAGGAAGGCTGAACATTTAGAAGAATTGAGCACCGACGCGCTTCAACAGACAGGCGATGCTCAAGAGGACCCATAAACATCAACGGGACTCGTTTCTGTTTCCATTCAACTGTGAAACTGAGTGAACTTGTAATATAATGCGAGTTAGGCACCAGTCAGTTGGTCTGGATGTAATATACTATCTACATCTCACATCAAACTAGAATACAGCAGTTTTAACATTGAGTAAAATGTGAGGAATCTGATGTTTTCACACACAGCAACAGTTAGATAAATGCAAAATAGTATATGGCTTACCACAGGAGAAACACACAAACAAAGCAAGACCAGTACAGGTAATGGGAGTAGTGGTTGTAACAGTATTAATAAAAATAACTAAATAAATAAAAGAGAAACAAAACAGTGATGAGACCAAAAATACAACGGATATGTTGGAAAGAAGAAATCCCCAGAAAGCAAAAAAAGTGACGAGATGACCACAGAGATGCGTGAGGTTACAGTAAATCCGTAGTGGAGCAGTGTGACGGGTCAGTTAAGTTATCTGAGTCAAACTGGGCGGTTTCTGAGACGCACACATAGTTACGCACACACATTCGAGGTAATGACGCATCTTTACTCCTCCAATGACAAGTTTTACTCCACAGCCCTTAAGTTCCACAGACACACATACACAAATAAAAAAACAAAACAATAAATATTATAAATAATATAAATAAATGACAACAGTGCCTCTGCTTGTGTATGCTGTGAACCAAAAGAACCACAAAAAGATGTCAGCCTTCACTCAGGAACTATGGAGGAAAACAGCCACGGCTCGCTCGCCGCTCTTCTCTCCGTCGTCTCCTCGCTGAGGCGCTCAGAGGTCAGTGCAGCGCTCCTGCTTGCTGTAGTGGTCAAACTGACTCTTCCAGTGCATCATGTAGGAAGACCAGCGGTGAAACTCCACCTTCCACTGACGTTCTGCCTCATCTATGTTGTCTGAGAGAAGAAACAGAGACAGAACAGCAAAAACGGTTAGCAGTTGAGCTTGAAGTAGGGCTGCCACGATTTGTCGACTAGTCACGATTCATTGATAGTTTTAATAGTCGACGCATCGTTTGAGGCTTTGTAAGATCCCAAAAGACGCAGGAATAAGTAGAAGGTAGGATTTAAGAGTGTAATAACGGACTGAAACAGAAGATGGCAGCACTGCATGTACAAGGATGCCAGCTGCCGTTAAACCCCGAAGAAGAAGAAGAGCAGTGTCCGGTATCGTAGCTGTGTCCAAATTCAGGAACCGCATTTGTAGGCCATTACGTTACAGGACGCGAGGAAGGCTGTCAAATTCAAGAACTCCTCCAAATGCAGAAAAGCGTCCTTCATTTCCCCAGATTGAAGATGGGTCGGGTGTATCCTTCGTGGCCCAACCATATCCCAGAATTCATAGCGCGCCCAGCAATTCCAGTTTCCAACAATGGACGGGCTACTTAGTTTTAATATTACTCTTATTACTTTTCTGGGTCACAAAATAAACTTTTAACATATTTTCAGGCGAGAATGTAGCTGTGTAAACTTCAAATATCTGCTGTTTATCAAGACACCACATATTTGTGAAAAGCTCCGACGTTTTCGGAGACGTCTACCCACCAGCTCGATAACTAGAGGGTTCAAGGCTCACTAGAGCCGGTGAGAACACCGGACTCCCGGCACATCGATTTTCAGACCCCCGCGGTCTTTCGCCACTCAGGTTAAACATGATATACAAGTCACTTAGATAACTTATGTTATTGTTTGGCTTTCTTCAGTATTTTATTTGTTCCTGAGTAAATTGGTTTGGCTGAGATTAAAGTTATAGGCCCTGTCTCAATATGCGTACTTGTGCGTTCTCGTGTACTCGTGATACGTCATCAGTCGGAGACCAAGTGCTGTTCCAGTTCAAAGTACGCATCAAGCTGAGAATGCGAAAAATTCCCAGATGTGTTCTCGCTCCGCCCGTGCGTTCTCTGCACTCTCTCACTCTCCGTCTGTTTCGGTGCTTTTCCAGCAGAGATTCGCGCTATGTTTCAGTGTTCCTCTATCTTGAATTCCTGTGCACTCAAAAGCTTGTAAAGACTTATCCCTGTCTCAATGATGTCTGCATTTGGGTCCAGTTCCACGTCCTGAATACAGATGGTCAGTTAGCTGCTTTACAGCTACTCTTGGATAATTAAGTCACCCAAACTCCATAACAACACTGTTTCGTTTTAGATGTGAATCAAATACAATACAATACTATATAAATAAAAACAGAATGTAATGATTTCCAAATTTCATAAACCCATATTTTATTCACAATAGAATGCAGAAAACATATCAAATGCTTAAAATGAGAACATGAGTAACATTTTAGAAAGAAAAAATACGGTCATTTTAAATTTGATGACAGCAATGCATCTTGAAGTTGGGACAGGACCAAGTTTAAAGAGTTTATTTGCTCTAAATGCTGTACAGACCTTTTAGCATTGATAAAAGGTCTGTGTAACATACCAAATCCATGCTAAACAAACCAGATACCTCCTTAGGTCAAGAGATGCAGGGTCCATGTTTTCCTAAACGAATTTGAAATTTTGATTCATCTGACCACAGTTCTCCATGTTCCCCCACACCATATTGGATTAGTTTTCTATGGCAGAGGTTTAACCTGCATTTGTGGATGGCATGGTAAACTCCTTTTACATACTGTGATTTCTGGATAAATATCAGAATCATGTCTGTTTTTTTTAATGCAGTGCCGCCTGATCAGTATCCAAGATTGATTTTCACGTTGTCCCTCGTGCACAGAGATTTCTCCCATGATTTTTTAAGGACATTATATACTGTAAGTAATAAGACATCTAAGTCTTTGCATTTTACGTTGAGGACTATTAAGTAGACACTCTTCCACAATCTGTAGATGCAGCTTTCTGCAGACTGGCGAAGCTCCATTTCACTGTCACGCGACAGAAAAAGCTTGGAGAACACTGCCCGTCTTTACTTCTGAGAAATTCCGCCTGCCTTTTAATATCCAGTCATGTTACTGTGCTGGTGCCAGTTAACCTAATTAGTTGCAAAATGATCTTCAAGCTGTTCTATTTTTAGAAGCTCTTGCTTTCTAAGCCTTTAGAGTTAGTGTTTCCAACTTTTGATATGTATTGCTGCAATCAACTTCAAACAGAGCTAATGTTTTTCACAAAATAGAAAGTGTCTCTTTTTACTGTTTAGCAGCTTGAATCCTGTACCAGACATCAATGGGAGAGCTTTCCCCTCCCAAAAGTCCAGCAACTGCTCTCTTCAGAGTGTCGTTCAATACAGAGGGAATGAACTGGTCCGTAAATAGCACTTTTTACTCTACTTGAGCCGTCAAAGTGCTTTAAACCACCAACTTTACTACCTTCTCAGCCACAGCCACCCCAATAGTTGATGCTACACAATGGTAAATGTGGTCCTCTCCCACTTTGTTATGATGTGTTGCTATCATCAATTTGAAAACTGCTTTATTGTCTTCTCTTCAGTTTGATAGAGTTTCTGTTTTCTATTGTGAATGACTAGGGGTTATGAGATTTTCATGTCGGTCCATTCTTCTCTTAAATTTACATTTTACACAATGTCCCAAATTTTCAAAAATTGGGGTTACATATAAAGATATGATGAAATAATTTCATGGTCTGAAATCAACACCACGAACAGTTTTCAAGGGGGGAGTCAACCATCTGACACCAATCAGGAGGAGCTGCATTTATTTAAGAAAAACAAAACAACGAACTGACACAAGCTGCTACATCCCACATAGCAAAATTGGTATTTCACGGATCTCGCCCACATACTGCAAAGAATGATACAGGTACACATTAGGCTGACCACCAGTGTGTCTGCAACTGGCCCATGGCTGCACACAACTTACACATGACCCACATACTGCAAAGAATGACGGCCCTTTGGTGGCCCAGATCTGGTTTGCCAGAGGTCACACGGCACACTAGGGCCTGCTGCACAACAACTACACAGACCCACATACTGCCAAAGAATGGACGGCCCTTTGGTGCCCAGATCTGGTTTTCCAAGGGCCCCCACATGGCAGTTGCAACACCACTTGCGTCCTTTGCTGCTCAGGAACAGTTTTCAGCTTGGCGCCCAGATGTCAGCCTAAGTGACCTTAGTCAAGCCATTGAATTAACTATATCTACCGCAAACATAACTCCAAATCACGAGGTAGCGAAGAGAGGTAGATCATGGAGCGAGAGAGCTCTCAGGAGCATATAGCGAAGTATGGCCTGATTCTATATAGCGCTTTTCTACTCTCCCAACATCTCAAAGTGCTCTATACAACATGCCACATTCACCCAAACACACACTTTCTCTGAAACTGCCGAGTGCGCTTCCTAACTGCATTCATTCACACATTCACACTCATGCAGACCCTGGAGGAGCCAGGGTCGAACCACTAACCTTCCAATCAGTAGGTGACCTGCTCTACCTCCTGAGCTACAGCCACCAGTGGTAAACGATGAGTAAACCTCACTAGGTTTTGGATAAAGTGTACACTCACAAACCTGTCAAACCTGCATTTGAAACGTTGGCTACCATAGCAGTATAGTATTGCAACATGGCATTTGGGTCTTCTAACTAAAATAGGAAAATAGGAACATAAATAGTGCCATCACTGCCAGACCTGGCCCACATCTGGTTGACATACACCCTGCCATGACACCAGTCAGTCAGAAGTGCCAGCTTGATGCCGTTCCGGGCCAGACCTGTTTTTTATGAGCATGCCATCACATAAACAGTGCCATCTACGCCAGGCCTGGCCCATATCTGATGACATACCACTTACCGTGCCAGAAGTCAGCCAGCAGTGCCGGCTTGACACCAGATCCGGGCCAGACCTGCCTGCTATGTGGGAAAGCTCCACTTTAGTTTAAAATAATTCTTGTATCATGCATCCAGTGAGAAGTGTCATAATTTTAAGTGGAACATAAGTGAAGACCTGCATTCAGTACAGATTTCAAGTGTAGAGATGAAGTAATATTTAATAGTATTTACCAGTAATATTGAGAAGGCGTGGCAGGAAGCGATTCCAGAATGCGCACATCTGGTTTCGCAAACCTTTGTGAATCTTGAGTGACTCGGTGTTGAGGCCAACGTGTTTTTGCTCGCTGACGGTAAACACAGGCCAGCGTTTCCCTCTATCTCCCTGCACGTCATTGGGATTTCTGATACAGACAGAACAAGAAAGGATATTGCAATTACAACTAAATCAAACGAAAAAGCAGTAAAATGATCTCCAAACTAACTGTTAGATTCACAACAATTCTGCTTGCAGTCGATGTCGGTACTCGTAGTACATCACTACTTCATGTTCCATTGCAGCATGGCGCATTGAGCCATTTTGCTCAATGAGAAACATATTCAGATAATCATATCTGTGTGTTTCAAGCTCAAACATGTACGTGCTCACTAAGGATCACTAAATTTTATTTCATTTCATTTTTGTCTGTATGTATTATTGTAGGGTCTACCTTACAATATAAAGCGCCCTGAGGCGACTGTTGTTGTGATTTGGCGCTGTATAAATAAAACTGAATTGAATACAGGAAATGTCTGACAGTGTTTCTTGCTGCAGTCATTCCACCAAGTACTGAATTGTCTTCCAAGCTGATTAAATACTGATCACTCACTAAAATGCACATGAATTTGTAACTGTTACAGAATGTTTGTTTTTGCTGACAGTTTATGCTACTATTAAAATAAATTGTAGCTTTCTCAATTCTTTGTAACTGGATACAATTTCAAAAGGAGATCAAATAATTTAATTTCCCCCACTGTGTACCTCGCAGCATTAACATTTACTTATTAAAGCCTTTCCTTTAAGCCAAGTAGCATGAGGGTTAACTGTCAGGAGAAGCTCTCTGTGCCTCCAAATTCATGTCAAGACTCATTAACCTGCAGTCTCACAGGAATTAAAGGGCTGCTTACTCATACAGCTTTTCCTGCATTATTTATTTTGACTGAAAAACATGGCTGCTGAGGTGCATTTGCATAAAAAAGACTGGACGTGGACATAGACCCTGATTCCATAGGTAGTTTTTTTTTTTGTGGCCTCACCCAGTCCGAGCAAAGTTGGCCCAATATTTCATCATACGTCGGCTTAGCTTCTCCTCATCTCGGGTGTAGTTGAGCCTCTTCACCAGTGGCAGCCCGAAAACAAATTCAATCTCATAGCCATGGATCACCCCCATCCATTCTGGCCAGGCCAGATTGGATGCCCGGTGATCGAAAAGGTAAAGATACATCCCTCCTTAAGAAATAAATGGTGGAAGAAAATGCATGAAAATTACAATTATAAATAGTTAATCATCATTATTATTTCATTTTTACTCAGAAACTACAGATATGTTTTAATCTTTTACAAGGACAGTTAAAAAATAAATCATTTTTCCAACTAGAATATTTTACTGATCTATCATCAGAGTATCAACATCGCTTACATGACAAATGCAGATTCAATTGTTGTACAGTTGTCCTGCACATTATAGCATATTTAAAACAGCTATCATCTGCATTAAAAAGTGAAAACATGAAATTTAACGCACAGTTTAATTTAAGTATCGTACCAAATTGTTCTATCACCAGAAAGCAGGTCCTTCAAACAGTAGCGTGTCTGGGTATGGGATATATATACTTCTAGATCTGACAGACCACACTGGTACTCGGGTATCCTACCTTGTGAGTTTCCACTGTTCACCCCACCAAAGTTGATGCCACCCACGTTAGCCTTGAGGGCATTGTGTTGTGCATAAGAGCGAGCGAAGTGGGCCAGCGGGCAGATGACGTTGTGGTCACCGACAATGTCATCCATGGCATCACGATTTTTTATCTCATTGTTCTCATCCATCCAGTCGGTGTACTGCAGCACCACTGCTTCCAGGCCGATATCATTAGCATGAGGTACGCTCAACCTAACACCTGGAAGAGTGACACTGAAGGTTTTAACACGATACAAGTAAAACTGTGCCGTAATAACCTGAAGCAGAATTAACTTGAATGTTTTGGATGGATTTATACAATTCTCTCTGCTCAGTTACATATATCCATCCTTACTTTCCAGGAAGTCCTCTCTGGAGATCAGACTGTCGTTGTCCTTGCTGAAGCCTGGTGCTCCATACAGCAGGAAGTAGGAGCCTTCATTCTGATTAACGCCGAGGAGAATCTGCGTGTCTTTAAAGTTCCCTGAGTTGAGCATGGCCTCAGGAGTGTCGGGCAGAAACTCGCCATCCACAACAGGCACAAATGAAAATCGGAACAGAGCGGACCATGGCAGAACCTGCATGGATGACAAACCCACATGGGACTGTGAAATAACGCAACATAAACACCAAGAAGTGCTACTTCCTACTCCAGAACCAAGCTACTCCTTTTGTGTGACTTACCCCAGTAACAGACATACTGGTACTGGGGCTGCAACGATTCGTCAACATGACGTCATCGATTATAAAGATTTGGCGACAGGGAGATTTAAAAAAATGTGCAAGCATGTAACAGCAAACAAAGTTAAATGCAGACTGTGCAAAGCAGAGCTTTCCTTCCATGACAGCACTGATGCAGTGCACGAGCATTTAAAACGCTGGCACGCTGGAGCTGCGATGTCCAAATGGGTCAGTTTTATGAAGTTAGTGGGTTGTCTGTGAAGGTTCTCAGTCATCCAGGTCATCGTAGTCAAAGGAGCTTGCAAAGAAAAGCGTCTGGACTTCTTTAAGTTGCTTGAAGACGTTTCACCTCTCATCCGAGAAGCTTCTTCAGTTCTAAGGTCAAATGGTGGGGAGTCCCAGATTTAAACCCAGTGGGAGTGTCCCCCCCACAGAGGGACAAGCAACTTAAAGAAGTCCAGACGCTTTTCTTTGCAAGCTCCTTTGACAAGTTAGTGGGTTGCATTGACATGTTGTTTATATGAATGTTTTTACAGTAATGTTTACATTAGCTGTCAGAAACTTCTCAGGATGAAACGTGATAGTAAATCTTTAAATCTCACACTTTAATATTGTAGTAAACCTCTTCCACCTAATGAGAAACTATGATCTATAACCAAATATGTGATGAGCAACGGTCTTTTCTAAATCTGTTTTGTTGGTAAATGATCGTGATGAATATGTTCAGAGTAATTGTGCATTCATGAACTGAATCATCTGTAAACTTTGTTAACCCTGTCAGACCCAACCCGTCAAAAAATAGCCAGAAAATTCAGATTTTTTTGAACTGAGATGTTTATTAACCCTTAAAACAAAATCCACAATATTTTTTTGCTATGTCGTGTTGTGTATGATATATTTTTATTATATTTTTGATACATTGGGCATTTTTGGCAACAATGTTAATTTTAGACAAAAAAGAGTTTTGTCCACAACATTTTGAAATTATGGGAAGTATTGATGTTGATGAGACAGAGGTCGCAGAAACTTATAGCATTACAGGGTTAACTTGTTATTTTGGACTAGAAAGCAAATTAGTTTCCTATTTGCACATTATTTTGTATTTAAATACTAATAGCACTTTAATTTGTACAACTAATATTTTTATTTATATGATTTTTATTCTGACAGTCCTATTGAGTCCTTTTAAAAATACATTTGATTATTTTCAAATTCATGTGTTTCATTATTTTAATTTTCTGTGGAACGAGACAGCAGAGTGGGCAGATTTGAGCAGGTGAGGACTGAAGACTAGAACAGGTTTGCCCACAGCACTGTGAGAGTTGTTGAAATAATCACTGGCCAACCGACTAATGGAAGGAAAATTGGCAGATTGTTCAACTACCAACATAATCTTCAGTTGCAGCCCTGACTGATACAGGTACATACTGGCATGGTCCCTCTGTCCTCGTTAGTCTGACCTCCCATTTCGGTCTTCAGTTACTGAAACACGGCTCCTTATATCCGTGTTTGTGCAACTTGGCTTTGAATGAGAAAAACTTACTAACTACATCCCCTTGGTTGGAGAAGCCCGTGCTGGAGAGCAGTGGGCTGTTTTGTGTTCTTGGGAACACTCTCCTGAACTGTTTGAGAGAGTCTTGCGTTTGAGTCCGGTCTGATTTTGATCCTTAACAACATATTGTGCACTTAGTAGGAACCACAGGTAATAAACCATTGCATCAAAGAACCAGTGGTTTGAAATTAAAAAACATCAAACTGAAAATAAGTCTCTCGTCCACGTTGCAAACAACATGATAAGTCAAGCAGAATTTGTGTAAATTACCTGCCACTCATGATCGATAAGTTGCTGTGGACTTTTACTGCGCAGACAGTCTATTATCTCGGTGTCGTTTCCTCCGTTGCAACCGACAAACTTTGCCAGCTGTGTGGCACGTCTGCGGGCTTCAGCGGGACTCACTGAGGCCCAGGGGCAGTTGGGGACCCCGCTCTGGAGGATGGCTCTAGTGAAAGTGGGTCGGCTGTCTGGAGACAACAGGTGGAATCCTACTGAAGCTCCACCAGCACTCTCGCCAAAGATCGTAACCTGTTTCACAGAGAGAACAAATAGAAAACTAAATCAAAACAGGCTCATATTAATTCTAGCATAACAGAGACCTGACAAATAAAGCAATGAGAAACACACCTGTTTAGGGTTTCCACCAAAGAAATGGATGTTGTCTTGTACCCACTGCAGCGCCATCCTCTGGTCAAGGAGGCCGACATTGCCAGGAGCCTCGGAGGAGCCATGCAGAGCCAGGAAGCCGAAAGCACCGATCCGGTAGTTCATCGAAACCACAATGACTGTCTCGCTGTGAGCTAGGTAACGACCATCATACACATCCAGAGAAGAAGATCCACTGTAGAAGCCTGGAAACATGGAATATCACAGCATTAACCTACAATATTAGAGCGTACTACAACAATTCATCGCTGTTATTCAAGACGTTTAATGATTAGAATTCCAGCGTAATATCCTCAATCCTTCTACATAAAAAATAATCTGACAGACGAGGAATTTTCTAATGTAATATATCAGGAACGGCTAACCCAGTGCTCCAATGACAATTGGAGTGATATTCCCAGTATGGTTTGTGAATTCTTAAGTACCTCCACCATAGATCCACACCATGACAGTGAGGTTGTGAGGTCTGGGCGAGGAGGGCACCCAGACATTGAGGTAGAGGCAGTCCTCATTCATGTCTCTGTTAGGATTCCACATCTCACTGCCCTGGAAGCCTGGGAATGCTGTGTCCACATACTGATAGCACGCGTTGGGGTATTCCTTGGCCTCGATCACTCCAGTCCACGGACGTTTGGGTTCCGGAGGACGGAAACGGCGGTTCCCCAGTGGGGGCTCAGCAAAGGGGATGCCCAGAAAAGCAGTTATGTAGCTCTGATCCGGCACCAGCTGGCGGATGCCTCGAACTCGACCGGTACGTGTCTGAACAACCAGGTCTCCCTCGTTCTGGGAGAAGCAGAATGGGATGATGAAAGCCAGGAGGAAGATCGAGGAGAAGAGAAGAACCACAGTGGGCTGCATCTTTGTATGCGAATATGGTCTGTGTATCTGAAGCAGATGTCGTGACTCTTTCATCAGACAAGGATGGCAGGGTATGCTCTGTGTACACTCAGATCTACAGAGAAGACAGAGAGAGAGTAATGTGATTACAGTACAGGCGAGGACGGAGAACAGGCAGAATCAGGGAGGGAGAGATGAGACGAGAAAGGACAGAAGTATGAAAGTTTCACCAGTGTGGATTTAAGATTGGATCGGACAGACAACCCCGAACAGCCAATAGAATCATATGCAATAAAATAAATAATCATCTCAAGGCTGGATTGAAGGCTCTATCTTTAGCAACTAGTGAATCTATGTGAGACTTTCTCAGTGCGTGTGCACGTCCTGGTGTGGTTTATCAGTGTGCAGCATGGCCAGCGTCGATGTGACCTGCTGCGGCTTCTGAGAAAAGACTTATTAAATATTCAACACCGAGACAACAGCAGTCTGACAGAGTCAGAGCTTCACCAGCATAAACAGCTTTCTGCAGATTAAAAAGCTAATAATTCAAATCTGCTTATGTTTAATAGAGACTAACATTTGTAGGATAAATATGTCTAGGTGGTGAATATCAATTTACTAAGAAGAGTATATCATGTTTTTGGTGAAGGACTGAATGTAATTACACTTAGTTGGTAGACA